ACGGTAACTGTAACGGAATACAGTTACTCATATTTTGTATTTTAAATACGTAACGGCGGTACATGTATTCCGTTACTCCCCAACACTGGTTGCAAATGACCTACAGTTTTATAGTTAAAGTCTTATACATTTAAGTCTCAAACTTAAATGTATATATTTATGCATAAAAATATACAGAATATAAATGTCATTTAAAAAAGAAAAGGAAAAAAATCAGACTTTTATAAACATGTCTTTGCCAATTTTAACGACTGACACTTATTTGTAAAGATTTTCATCCACTCAAATTAAAAAATAATTAAATATCAATTTAAAAAATTGGACTGAATTGACACTTTTGTCAGTATGGATATGACGGGGGGCGGCAGCTCAGGTTGAGCAGGCTGGGGACGAAGAGAGGCCAGAGGAGGATGCCAGAATAATAGGGTGAGATGGAGGCAGTTGACCCGCTGTGGCGACCTCTACAGGGAGCAGCTGAAAGAAGGAGAAGAAATAAGAAAAGGCGCTATTGTTTAAGCTCATAAATAGTGTAGGACAGCAGTTTTGGTTTCTGTAGTTTCTTGGGAACAGAATGAGCTTTTCAATTTTGGCACTACTAAAATAAAATCACATCAAATATATCTTTGTTTTCCCCAGAAAAATGTCCATGCAGAAAAGTGAAAGGTACTAACTTGTGACGTTTTTTGGTTTACGAATGACGATATCTGCTGTGCCTCGCGCTGATTGGTCCTTCGCTAAACGAAAATGATATTAACCAAGATGGCGCCGGGCAAGAGAGAAAAGTGATGAGAGAATAGAACAACAAGCGACCAAACTCCATAACAGTTTGCATGTATTCGCTCTGCGCGATTATTTTATGCCACACCTGTATTACTTTCACCCGGAAACTGTCAAACACGCGAGGAGAGGACGCTGCGACGCAGTTATTTTGCTAACTGTTTGTTAACCAGCTGCTAAAGTCGCTAGCCTACCTAACGTCTGCTAACGTTAACTGCGGAAGGCGAGTCAGGAGAAAGCAGGCAGGCGGTTCAAAGTAGGAGCCGACAAGTCAAGCTGACTTTATTTTGGTTTGGAGACGTCGTCTTTTAATAAGGTAGCACGTCTTTCATAGTTTGGAGCTCTGTCAGTTACAGCAGGGTGTTGTTAGGAAAGAAACGTTATACCTCTGATAAATAGAGGTGAAAAGACGAGGAAAGGCGTCATCTTTGCTGACTTGACGCCATGGCTCACTCTCCAATTCAGAGCGGACTGCCGGGGATTCAGGTAAATTGAAATTTTTTGTGTTGTGTTTTATTATCTGACAGTCAGCTGCGAGCTAACTTGGTCACTTGGCATTTTCACTTTTTTTTTTCAAGTTTGCCAAATAACCGAAAGTAATGTGCATCCGAGTTACGGTAACCTTTGCTTTCCAATAAATGCACCTGTAGTATTTGCCAAAGTCCAGCTAGATGAGTTTTGGAAAGAAAAAAAAAAACAGTGTCATTATCGAAAATAATTTTGTAATTCATCTGGCCGGTCAATTCATATAATGTTTATTGTAGTCGAGATCAGATCCAAAGTTAAAGATTGCATTTTGGACTGATTTCTGGAGTTTTAAAATGTAATTTATTTATCATGTATACTGTTAAAATGAATGCTCATATTAAACACGAGTAAAGTTTCAAAGGGCTTAAATGTAGGGGGAAAAGGATGAACTGAGGGGCTACACCAAAGCATAGTTTAGCATAAAGAACAATCAATGTGAACTGGAAATCCTGCAGAGCTCCAACAAGAGAATCTCAGAATAAAAACAAGCTGGAAAATTTAGTGGATTTGGAACAGAGCAATAATAATAGTAATAGGTCTGTTTAAAATTCGGAAAACCTGAGAAATTAATTCTCTTGGTATTTCTGAAGCTGAAGCTTGAGAATGTCTAGCCCTCTTGTCCCAATAACGGAATATCTAAAACCATACAGCATTATGTATTAATATAGCTATAAAAAGTAGATCACCTGTTTACACCCATCAGCACTTAAGAATCTTACAATCTTCAGTGTAATATCAGAGGAGAATAATTGCGGTTTCGTTATGTCCTGAAAATCAGTTCATTAATTCATTACTATTTCTATTTAATGTTAAACTTTTTTTTGAAAATTAGTTGTGTTAATTTATAACTTTATCTATCAAATGCACCGACCACTTTATGGTTATCATGCCACGTCCTGCTTAAGTAAAGTAGGCCACATTACAGTGCATGTAAGAATGAATCTTCCTTAGCATACCCATGGCATGCATGATTGTCTGCAGGTAACTGATTGCACACAGTGAAACTCTATGAATTATTGGTTAATCATTTACATGTCCACAGACAACACAGGTTAAAAGGTAACATCAGATATGTGCCCATAGCTTTGCATGCAGTTGGGTAGCTGACATTGAGTCTTCGCCCCTGAGGGTGTGGCACTGTGGTGTGTGGATGACACTAGACTACACAGTTGTATAGAGCAGCTGGGAGAGCATTAAACACATGGTTTTAGAGCGAGGTTCGGGCAGCTTTGGTTGTTGGAGTAAACCTGCTGACTGTGGATATGGCAAGTACATTCCCATGTGTCGTCTGTGGTCACAGTGCCTTTGTTGTTTTTCCACATTGTTTTTTCAGAGGTCAGCCTCAACGTTATGATTTTCACCTGGATGACTGATCACAGCAGTGTTATGATAGTATTTTGGTTGTTGTTTCTACTCTGCTTTGTTCTGCACTGCTTTGATTTATTTGTTTGTAAAGTTCCATTTCTATCAAATTTAGCAGCCTCACTCTTTGCCAGATTGCAGCTCTCAACTCATCTTCTAAAAAGGTTTGACCACTTTGCATTAGCACTTTTACAGGAAATTAGTATCTAGGAAACTCACAAGCAATATATTGTGTCAACTTAAGCCAAAGCTATGTGGTAAATTAAACATTAAAATCTCCCCCCCCCAAAAAAAAATCAAAGCTGCTGTAAAATATGTATAAATATTTTCTTATAGTTTAGCTTTGTAGCGTTTACGTTGAGTTAGAGGGAGGTTGTTGTTTGTTTGTTTTTTTCAATATTCTGTGCCATCTTTGCTATGAAAAGTAAGTCACTCCAAGCTCTGCTCAGGCTGTTTGGGTTAATGATTGCCATATATGAAGGGAAATTGAACTGACTGGCTTGAAGACCATTATTGCCTTCCTGGTTCTCCATGGGGAAATAGGCCATTTAGCTCAGTCAATAATTCAGGGTGTAGTCCTTCAATTTATGCTTAGCCTTTGTGGTGCAAGGGTCATTAAGCTTTTGTCAGGTCTGTGTTATGCTGTCTTTTGATGTAAGTGTAGCTCAAAGCCACAAATTTGACTTGATAAGTTTTAAATATTCAATATAGAGTGACTTTTATCAACTGTAATGAGATTACCCAATTGACTTGATAAGGTTAATCTGCATTCAAAGGTCAAGGCCAGTTTGTAAATCTAATGTTTGTATTTTTGGTAACAAAGGATTTGATGATGACTGGATTCAATGTATAGTGTCTCATCACAGTATGGTAATTAGAGAGTTGTGAAATGTCAGAGGAAATTCAAAGGCTTGTTGTGGTGACAGCTGATTTTAAAACAAAAAAATGGGTGACTTCAACTAATCTTACACTCCAACTGTGTTGCCTAAAAGTTGAGAAGTATACTTTTGATGGACTTGTAACTGGATGAAAGGTCTACTATTGACCAACTGTCAGCTACAAAGGAGTGGGTGATGAGGGAACCTTTTTCATGTGGACAGGGTTTTAAAAGCTAAACCAATCTTCTAAATTGGTATCACAGCCAAACAAAGCATGTTGTTATTGATCAGAATTGACTTTCCTAAACCCAACTCTTATTATTTTTTCCCCTAACTTGGAAAGCTTGTCATATCACCTGTCAACAAGCTGATACGTGGTTTACAGTGTTGATGATGTCTACATTGGATCTGTGCTGGATTAAGGAGGTTGTGTTTAACCTCTAAGTTGACACAAGAAAACACAAAGAGGATGTCTCTGTTTCTACTATGTCAGTGGAAACAATTCCCTGAACCTTCTGACAGTGTACTGCTAAACAAGCAGACTACCTCCTTATTGCAGATCTGTTTCATTGTAAAGTGTGCTTACAAGTAGGGGTGGGCGGTATAAACGGTATACGGTAGAAACAATATAAATCGCTCTACCGCGATAGTGTATGTTGATGGTGTCATCAAGCTGTGCGTTTTTTGGTTCAAAGCATTGCATCATCTGCAAATTATGCCGGGTGACAGTAATAGCAAAGAGACAAAACACGCTTTGGAATATGTGGAAAGCCAAAACTGCGCTTCCTCTTCCGTACCATTGAATTATTAACGTTGAATTCTCTCACAGCAGCTCTATTCCCATGTTGTTGCAGTATATTAATGACTAACCTGGTATTGTGGATGGATTATCTCAGTTGTTCTCCTGACTGAAGGTTGGTCCGTTTAATGCATCATGCGATTGCATTTGTCCCTAACCATCAAACCCCCCCCGTTATTTTTATTGAGTGGAAAAAGGTTAGCGTTCATCCTCCAGCTTCACTGTTTATGTTATGCTAACCTAGCTGTGTTGCTAGCGATCACGTAGCATATCATTATATACCAGCTAGCCCAGCTTCAGTAACCCTACAAACGTCACTGCTCTTTAGTTTTCTGTCTTCATTTATGTTGGAAGTGCTAGCAGAGCTGTACGTTTTTAATGTTGTCAGATATCTCTCAGTCAGAACATGGTATATCATGTTTAGGTGGAAACTAGCGAGCTAACTTCCTGCTAACTTCGTTTTATTCAATTCTGTTTTCATGGATGCCTGGATGTTAAACTTGATTGTTACACCTGATAAAGAAGAAACGCTGATCATTTTATTAAAGATTAAAGAGTTTAGGCAGTTTTTAACTCTCAGTGATGCTGCAGTGTTCGTTTGACTTTGGGACCTGAATGGATGGAGTTTAGGACCCAGTTACCCCACAAGGCTCCTGACTACGGTAGCCGTAATGCTCCGACAATCCATCTAGCGGTGCAGCTTCGTAGCTTGCCAAAGTCGTACTAAAACATTTTTGACAGATTTTTGAGCGCTGTGTACCACATAAAATCGGTTCGAGGTCAGTAAGCACAACCGGAATTCATGCATAGGGTGCAACGGATTATAATGAACACTGTCGATTTTTGAGAAAATTAAAGGATTTTAAGTTTGCCTTATTATGTGGAACATACTGTATACTGTAGAGAAGAAAATAATATATCACGATATGGATTTTTGGCCATATTGCCCAGCCCTACTTACAAGTCACTTTATTAAGTGTACCTTGCCAGTACTAGTTTGGACCCTTGTTGCTTTCAGAAGTGCCTTATTACTTCAAGACATAGATTCAACAAGGCGCTGGAGACATTCCTCTGGGATTTTGCTCAATATTGACATGATAGCATCACAGTAGAGTAAATGAATTGCTATGTTCCAGAACCAGTTTTAGATGACTTGAGCTTGGTACCATGGTGAATTATCTTACTGGAAGCACCAATATGAAGATGGTTACACTGTGGTCATAAAGGGATGGACATGATTAGTTACGCTAATGGGTAGGCTATGATTTTTAAACAATGCTCAGTTGGTATTAAGGGCCCTGAAGTATGGTAAGACAATGGCCTCCACATTATATAACCACCACCAGCCTGAATCACTGATAAAAGGCCGGCTGGAGCCATGCTTTCATGTTGTTTACACCACATTCTGACCCTAAAATCTGAACATCACAGCAGATGTTAAGACTCATCAGACCAGGCAACATTTTTCCAATTTTCACTTGTCCAATTTTTGTGAGGATGTGAGAATTATAGCCTCATCTTCCTGGTTTTAGCTGACAAGAGTGACACCTGGTCTGGTCTTCTGCTAGGAATATGAGTGTTTGTCTTTGTGTTAGCAACTTGTCCAGGGTGTACCCTGCCTCTTGCCCAGTGACAGCTGGGATAGGCTCCAGCCCATCAGCAACCATGTATTGAATAAGAAGATGATGGATGGATATTTATTTGTTAAACTTAAGCTTTTAAATTTTCTGACAAGGTTTGATGTTACTTTAAATGCCCTCTTTTTTTTCTCTCTCTCGACATCTTTTTTCTCTGTCAATCAGAATTTCAGAGCTGATCCAGAGGAGCTTTTCACCAAGTTGGAGAGGATAGGCAAAGGCTCTTTCGGTGAAGTCTTTAAAGGCATCGACAATCGAACTCAGAAAGTTGTGGCCATTAAAATTATTGATCTGGAGGAAGCGGAGGATGAAATAGAAGATATTCAGCAGGAAATCACAGTTCTCAGCCAGTGTGACAGTCCTTTCATCACCAAGTATTTTGGATCCTATCTCAAGGTAAGCTTTAATCTCAGGAAGATAATCGTTGCATGAACTCGTAAAAGCTGAAGCTTGACATAATGCATTTGTTTGTAGTGTGTTCTTGTAAGCAAGTGATGGCAATTTAGGTAAATAAATAATGCAAATAGACAATGGAGGAAGTATTGTCTGTGAAATGGTGCAGATTAGTATAAAATAACTTGACTTGGCCTGGGATTACAATAGTGTATGCCCTGTGGGCTGTTTACGGCAAAGTTTATAAGGCATATGTATGTAAAAGAGACATGAATATAATGTCAAACTGTTGAACTTCAGCTTTGGTGTTGGTGTTTTATTTGCAGATTAAAAAAGAGAAGGAAAAAGTAAAAGCGTGGGTCTACTGTAGTAGCTGTATTTACACCATCACTGAGACTCTTTTTTTTCTAACTAGAATAGATTTTCACACTAAATGTGATAGAGTGGCTCTCAGAGCATTTACTGTGGTACTTAAGATGAGAAACGAGAGAAGTGGTCCATTAGCTCAAGTTATGTGACTGGCTGAAGGAGAGAATTGAGTCCAATGTGTTTCTAGTATGTAAATATGATGTGTATGTTTTGTCCATGGAGTTTCTAGACTGGTACTGCTATTTGCGTGAAAAAACCCCATATCATCTGCTTTCATCCATCATTGATCCCACATGCATCTCAAGGAACAGATAGCTTCTCATTTTAATCAGTCTAGTCGTCTGGAAGTCAGCAGCTGACGAACAGCAGCTCCTGCTTTATGCTGTACCATACAGACTAAGAAATCTGCCCACCTATTGTTGTTTTAGGGACGTCTGCCTTTTTGAGTTGGATAAGTCGTACATAGGTTTAGGAGGGAGAAACAAGGATAATGTGTGTTTGTGTGCCTTGTTATAGATCAACTTGAAGTTAGTTATTGTTGTCTGGTCAGCATTTTAACCTCTGCTTATTATAGTGGGCAGGAGAAGCAGAAGTGGTTCTGACACTCAGCTGTTGCAACTTGCATCAAAAATGGTACTCTAATCGTTTTATAACCAGTGTTAATTAGACCTCCTCAGTATATTATTAAATTTTGGTGTCCACTACATGAACTTTTATAAAAACCACTTTGGATTAGTGCATTTCTTATTCCTATGTTAGGATTGAATATTAGTGCAAACCTGGCTTGGAAAAACTGGATTGCATATCACGCGCTACACATCATCAGTGGTTTGTTTGCTAGCAGAAGATTTGAAGAAGCTGAGAGCAGTTTAAAGTGTTTCAGTCTAGCTCCACCGGCAGCCTTCATCTCTAAGTTTAGAAATGTTTTTAATTTAACTGCAGTCAGGTGCATTGACGGAGCTGAAATGCTTTTTGAGGTGAGATGCTTATTCTCTCTCACTCGCACATATCGTGAAACAAAAATCAAAGGAGGTGAAGTGCTTATTCCTAGAAGTGGATCATGCAGCATAAGCTTTTACTTTATATGTGATGTGAGGAGCTGTAAAAGGAAGTAGTTAGTCAGAGGAAAGGAAACTAGTGACTTTAATGACTGAGCGCAAATAAAGTAGGTAAAACATGAATTTATGTTAATATATATTTTCATTTTTTTATTTTGTTACTTTGGTCCAATGTCATTTATTATTTTGCTTCTAAATACCAGTCCTGTAAAATTTATACTCTTGAAGGTGTTTATTTCCTTTACTTTAGAAAGTTAGGAAGACAGTGTTGCCCTCCACATAAAGGCTAATTCCCTGATTCTTTCTCACTGAGAGAAATACAGATTATTTATTTAACACTGGTATCAGATTGGTCTGATACCAGATCAAGTCTCTGTATAGGATCAGAATTGGAAAAAGTTGGATTGTTGCATCTGTATTAGAAATAATACAAGAACTGGTTATAAATCAAGGCGCTCCTTACAGCACTGATCTGATGATGGGTGTGGTTGTATTGCATAGATGTGAACTGCAATCTAATAAGTAAAAGCTAAAAACCCCCCACAAAAAACAATTCTGACACTGAAGTTTGTGTATGGCAAAGTAAAATCAAAAGAAATGAGAAGAAGTCAGAAAAATGACCATCCTCTGAATGCAAATAAAAGAAAGTCCAGATATTGGTGTGTGGCTGCGTTGGTGGATGTTGGTTTCCATCTGTGAGGCAGCAGCACCAACTGAGAAAACATCTGCTGATGTATAATATTATGCAGATTGCATGCACTTGTAAGTGTAAGCAAGATGAAATGACATTCGCAGGGTCCTGTAGTTATAATTTGACTGTTCACTGTACAGCTGATGTACCATCACAGGTTGTTATGAGATAGAAAACGTATTTGTTTCTTTCCACGTTCAAAATCCAGCCATTATGAGTTGTCACAATAACAGCCAGTGAGTTGTGAATCATAAAATTTCAAATCATAAAATTTGAAAGTTTGTGTCATAATCAGGGTGTAATTTTAATTATCTTGGTCTTTCTATATAGTGGTTCAATAAACCAAAACTAGGTTATCTTGAATCTCAGTAACACAGTTCCAATTTTTACATTTAATTCTGTGTGATGTTCTTTCCTTGAAGTCTTGAACAGTAGGAAGGGCAAAGGCACACCAAATTTACTTTTAAAACCCCCCAAAACAAACAGTGAGAGTACTAATATCAGAATGAGCTGAAAGGTCTCTCACTTATACATACAAACAAACAATCAAAAAACTAAAGTTTATTGATCTTCCACTATTTGTACCTTTGAAGATGTGGCATATAGTGTACAGCAGTGGAACAGTTATTAAAATGGTTATTTATCATTCCCTTATTTAACAGGATTTCTTTCCCACCACAAAACACCCCATGACATAACTAGTACCCACAACTATTCCCGTTATTAGAAACCTGAATGAGTACTGTTTTCTGTCTCTACCATAACTTTAAACACTGTCCAATGGAATTGTCTATTTTTCAGGGTACAAAATTATGGATTATTATGGAATATTTGGGTGGAGGATCAGCCCTTGATTTGGTAAGTTGTTATGAATTGCGATCTGAAGATAATCTAGACTTAAAGTGTTTGTTTGTATGTAAGGCCATTGTGACAGTTGTCACAATAACAGCCAGAGTCAAGAGTTTATCCATTCTCCTAGATGGAGCCGGGTCTACTCGATGAAACACAGATCGCCACCATCCTAAGGGAAATCCTGAAAGGTCTTGAGTATCTGCACTCTGAAAAGAAAATACATAGAGATATCAAAGGTCAGTCTGGTACATACATTGCCTTGTTTTAAAAAATATATTTAGAGAGCAAGCCCTTTATCATCTTGCTAATATTGAAGTGAGACTTTAATCTATCTTTTTGTGTCATTCTTTGCTAGAAAATTACTTACAAAAGCTTGCATTTCACAACTTCCAGCATCTGTTATGTCTTTTTTTGGTTGAGCCATAATTATATTTACACACAAGCCATATCACTAATATCTTACACTTAGTTGAAATCCTGTTCAGCCCTGTAATATTCAACTCCTACACCATCATAGATAATATTTGTCTTACAGGAGTGATGGGTGATGAAGGAGGCCATTTCATTTAACATTTCTACAGGTGTAATTTAATGTGGCTGAAAATAGTGTCAGAATTTTTTTTCCTCTAGTGTGTTTTTTAGTTCCTGTGGTAACTAAAAGGTGTGGGTCTACCAATAGGTCTTTGACATTATGTGATGCATCTCACTAGCTTTTTATTTTTCTCACTGCTGTTTCAGCTGCCAACGTGTTGCTGTCAGAACAGGGTGATGTGAAGCTTGCAGACTTTGGAGTAGC